TATGTGAGCACCAGGTGTCTGTCGTTAACAGGAATCTGTATTTACGTCCATATTTCATTCTGGGTGCAAATGTGGCAGCTGCAGTGAGGGAGCCCCCACCCTGCCACGAGGCCCCTGGGTCCTGAAGGGCGGGAGTGGTTGAGTCAGATTCCAGTGTGGTTTGCTCACATCGCCCCCACACTCAAATTCACTGCCATCAAGTCGAATCTGACTCAGCGACTCAGTAGCTCCCATCGCCTCCTCTGCATGCTGCACGTTCCATAAGGAAGACCAAGGAGGAGCGGATGCATTTGAATTGCGGTGCTGGTGAAGAGCAGCAAAAGGGCAAGGGGCTCCCCAAAGGCCGAGTGGCTCTGTCTTGGAAGAAGCACAGCCTTCATGCTCTTTAGAAGTGAGGAGGCTGGCGCTTCCTCTCATGCACTTTGGACACGTTGTCAGGACAGGCCAGTCCCTGGACAAGGACATCATGCGTGGTCAAGTGGAGGGGTGAGGAGCTGCATTCACAGAGTGGGGGCAACAGTGGCTCCATCAAAACAACCCCCAATGGGTGGTGTTTCGTTGTGTTATGCACGGGTTCACTGTGGATCGGAACCAACTCAAAGGCATGAGACAGCCCTGTGGATGTACTGCTTTAGCCCTTTCTAAAGCACCTGCGGTCAAACTTTATTTGCATGTGGTATTAGTGATATTTGTTCTGATCTTAACCCTAGCTTTCACCTTTCTTTGGAATGGGCACACATTTGGATTCTCCTCCGGTTGGCTGGTCGAGTAGCTGTCTTCCAAAGTACTTGGTACAGACTAGTGAGTGCTTCCAGGACTGCGTCAGTTTTGGGGAACATTTTGATTGGCACTCCACAGGTCCTTGCTTTTGCTAATGCTCTCAAGGCAGTTTGGACTTCTTCCTTCAGTGTGATTGGCTCTTGACCCTATGCTACCTTACTGAAGTGGTTGAATGTCAACCAGTTATTTTGGGTCCAGTGATCTGTGTATTCCTGTCAAGCTTCTTGCATGGTTCAGTATTTTGCCCCCAACTTCCATATTGCAACTGAGAGCTCAATCTCCCCCCACCTTCAGTGCTTCCACCATGAAAAATGTTGAGCTTGTTCTTGGTTTTTAAATCCCAGGTTTTTCCCCATTTTATTCTACTTTACTTGGTTTTCTGTTCAGCTCTTTTGCGTCATCATTTCTTCCATTTGCTTTTGCCAGGCCATTTTCAAAGCGAGTTTCAGAGTCTTTTCTCAAATCCACTGTGTTTTTCCTCTGTCCTGTCTTCTTAAGGACTTGCTTTCATCATGCACGATGTTCTCGACGTCATCTTATAAATCCTCTGGTCTTCTGCGGTTAGTGTTCAATGTACCAAATCTGTGATTGAGACGCTCTCTAAATCCATGTGCGACATCATCGAGATTATATTTTGGTTCTCGTGGACTTGTTTAGGTTCCTTCCACGTTAACCTGAACTTGCACTAAGCTATTGAAAGTCTACCTGTCCTAGCCAGGCCCTGCCTTGTCTTGGCTAATGTTCTGGAGCTTCTCCGGATATAGCCGGTTTGATTCTTGTGTATTCCATTTGGTGAGGTCGAAGTATGTAGTCACCAGTTACGTTGTTGAAAAGGGTATCTTCAATAAAAAAGTCATTGGGGTTGCAAAATCTTGTCAAGGAATTTCCAGCCCCACTTCTATCACCAAGGCCATATTTTTTGACTGTTGATCCCTGGAAATGTCATAGTCCAATAATTCTCGATGCACCTTGATTGCAGGTTTGATACACTTCAGACTGAAGAAGTTGGCAGGATTCTTCAGTTTCTTTATTACTGGCTTTAGTGGTTGGTGCATACATTGAAGTAATAGTTCTATTAGCTGTTCTTCCTGTAGGCCTGTAGCTCTTACCCCATTCACAGACACCACCGCACTTGGAGCTAGATCTCGGATGTCCTTTGGACTGTGAACGGTGCCATTCTTTTCCTACCAGTCATTCTCAGCATAGTAAACCACACAACTGTCCAACTCAAAATGGCCAATACCCTTCCCTTGTCGCTCACTGATACCAAGGATATAGAGCTTTGTAGATTTCATTTAATTTTTGATGACTTGTAATTTTTCTAGATTCGTACTTTGTACATGCCATGTTCCAATTATTGATGGGTATTTATAGCTGCTTTGTTCTCGAATTATGCCGTGCCTCATCAGCCGGGGAAGGTCTAAGAGCTTTGCTTCATCCACTTCATTAAGGTTGACTACTTCAAAGAGCCAGCTCTCGATCAGTCATATGTTCAGGGTCTTTTAACCTGAGGGGCTCATTTCCAGACAATGTTCCACTGCTATTTTTAAGGTTTTCAATGGCGCATGCCTCCCAAGTGGACAACCTGTTCCTCCTTCCCAGTCTGTTCCTGGCCTGGAAGCTCCACTGAGAAACCTGTTCCCGTTGAGTGACTCTGCTGGCATTTGGAGTATCGGAGGCACAGTGTCCACCAGCACAGCGACCTGCACATCCCACGGTGTAACAGACTGACAAGAGAGTGGTGGCGCGACGGTGTAGCTGGTAGCAAGCGTGTCATGTCTGCAGCCCAGGCCTTCTGTCTTCCTTTCTATTCATATATTTCCCTTCTTGTAGTACATTACTACAATAGGGTTGTCTGGGAGAACTGTTTGTGATGCCGAGGAAGTTCTACAATGTGGCCAGTGGCTACTGTGTTGGGTGGCGCAGGTCCAGCGAATACTCAGAGAAGCACCCATAGAGGAGACTCTTGCCTTGTTCCTGATGTGAGTGAGGGCTAGTTCAGATGTCTCATTTTATAGCGCTTTTGTTGCATAGAGAGAGTCTCTTTGCTTTGAGGGTGCCTTATAATCGGCAACTCAAGATTACCGTTGGCTTGCTGTTCTCACCCTCTCTCTGCAGTTCTAGGACGTCTTCATGCAGCAGACGTAGCTCTGCTTTACGGAACGAGTGTTACTGAACGCGTTGCCCTGGCTCCAGTCCTCATTGGTTGTATAAATTGTGTCTAGTCATTTAGGTTTTTGATCGGTACAAGTCAACAATTCATGCATTTTAGTCTAAAAAAGCTGCCCTGTACATCTATATGCTTCTTTTCTCAACAATATGTTATATTCTGACCCCCAAAGCAAACCCTCGGCCAGCCTCCCACTCAGCCATCTGCCCATCTACCCATCTGTTCAATAATCAGCCAACAGAGCCAGCCACAGTCCGTGGTAGGATTACTGCAGAGCCAGGGTGCGAGTAGGTGGCGGGAGCTGCTTACCTGTCTGGTGACATTGAGCAATAGTCGCTTGGGCAAAGTCCTTGATTTTCTTGTATTTCTGTGAAAAACTCTCTAGAAACTGAGCAGCTTCCTGAACAGTGGCTCCAAGGCAAGCAGCAAGTCGATCCTTCCCTGTGCAGGTCATAAAAAGTCAATTCCCAGTCCACACTCAGAAGGGTCTCTGACGCCGGGTGACCAGCCACGCATGGCGAGGAGCCACCACCACCACCACCACCAAACACCAAACTCACTGCCATCAAGTCAATGCTGACCCATAGCGACCCTGTAGGCCAGGAGAGAACTGCCCCGTGGGTTTCTGAGACCGTTACTGTTTACAGGAGTGGGAAGCCCCTCTTCCTCCCTCAGAGCTGCCCGTGTTTTTGAACTGCCAACCTCTTGGATGGCAGTCCAACATGTAACCACTCTTGAGTTGGTTGGTGAATCAAGATACCACGAATACCAATAGTATTTTCCTCTGCTGCTTTGTCTCAGTAACTGGATTGGTCAGGGTGGTGGTGGACTTTGGGCTTCAAAAACTGAGGTGTCAGTTGCTAGCCAACCTGGATGGAGGTTTGCTCCTCACTGCTGACTCACAGGGGCTCTGTAGGACAGGGCAGAACTGCCCCCTGAGAGTTTCAGAGACTGTAACTACATACGGGAGTAGAAAGCCCCGTCTTCCTCATATCCTAATTCAATAGGGTTGACTGAGTGCCTGCGAGGCACTGGCAGTGAAGCAGTGAATGAAGTAGGCATGGTGCCTGCTCTTGGTGGTCCGGTGGGAGACGTGATGCCAGAACTGGGGAAAGAGAGGCGAGCACAGAGGACAGGAGGGAAGAAAGTTCCATTGCCGGGTGATACTCAGAGAGTGGTAGAGAGTGGTACTCAGCAGCGGCCCATGGGGAGTTCTTACCCCGAGACAGACACCTTTGGTCGGGGTCACGTTTGGTTCTAGAGGCTGCTCCCTGTAGAAAGGTCAGGATGCTCTCTTGGCACACACTAGCTGGGTGCGGGGGCTGGACTCACACAGGTCTGGATCTGAGTCCCACATATCACCCCGGAAGGAGCTCCAGGACTTTGGGGACGTTACCTGCCCTGCAGCCAATCCTGTTTCCTCAGAGGAATGGTGACGGTTATTTCCCAGGGTTGTAGCGAGGACCCAATGAGCCAGAGCAGGGAGAGCGCCAAGCACAGTGCTTGTCTCCCGCTTGGAACTTCCTATGCACCCCCCGCCCCCCACCCCACTCCCTGCCGTGCCATCACTCTAGAAAAGACTGGGCAATCCAGAGGGCAGGTGCAGGAGCCTTGCTGGACGGTAGAGACCATGGGGAAAGCTCGGGCTCTGAGCGGCGGGCCCCTGGAGAAGGCCACGCTGGGACAGAGGAAGGTGCTCCGTGAGAGGGCCTGGCTCAGTGGCTGCCACAGGGGACTCAGGCATCACACTCGTGAGGGTGCTGCGGGGTGTTCCGTTGTTCAGAGGGTGGCGCGGGGTCAAAACTGACTTGATGGCACCTCAAAGCCACCCCAACGACCAGCCAGACAAATGGCCTGAAGACCAGCATTCCTGTGGAGGCATGACTCGGACCCATAGCAGGCCTTCTCCTCTGTACCTACCGGGCTCACTCTGCTCACATTAGGGGAAACCCAAGGGGCCTCCAGACAACATGGTGCGGAAGTCCTGGCCGAAGGGGTGGAGATGTGAACTCTGAGAAGGTGGATCCATCGACTTCACAGTCCTTTCTTTAGTTTGAGTCCTTCTTGGCCCAGGCCAGCTGATACCTCCTGTGGTTCTAGATGGAAGGTAGTTCTGGGTTTGGGAGGGTGCGGGGTTGTCGTGGCTCGTCCCGCTTGGCTGAGGAAGGAAAGCGCGAGTTCTCCAGTTCCCGCTGGCCCAGAGTCCTTGGCCGGGCCTGCTCTGCCCAGGCCTGTCTGACTGCTCTGGACCGCGGGTGGGAAACAACCTCCGGTTTCCTTCTTCAGAGCGTGTGAGCTTAATTAGGACCGTGTGCTGCCTTCATGAATACGTTAGCGTGTGTTTGCTACATTTCACTGCGAGAATCCATCTCTGGTTCGTCCACTGGGTGACATTCCAATCACCAGCCCTCCGCTAAGGCCCTTGAATGGAAAATTCCATCGGCTCGCAGAGAGCAGTCAGTCATAGGGCGCCTAGCTGCTTCAGAGGAGTCCGAGGTCCACCTCCAGCCCCTGGTTGTCCACTCAGAGGCCCCACTGGTGCTGAGAGGAGTGGCAAGCTCCAGGGGGGCCTTCCTGCCTGTGGTCTGAGCGTGGCTGTCTCTAGCGGGGCGCTCTCTGACCCTCCTCCTGGCTCAGGCCACTCTCCTTCTATGCTTCCTTCCTCATCCCTTAGGCACCTCCCACTGGGGCCCTTCCTAAGCGACCCTCCTCAGAGTTCCTAGCATCTGCTAGGCTGCTCCCGCACCCCAGTCAGCACCTGTCCGCCTTCATCTCTTTCACCTGTGGCTCAAGCCGTGGGCCATCTTCTTGCAGGTGGACGCTCATGATCCGGCTCCTATGGTCAGGGAACATTGGCTCCAACGTCCAGTCCACCTTCCTAGATGCCATCCGTCCTCTATTGACTACAGGGACTGGACACAGGGCACTGCCTTCCCAGAGTCCCTTGCAGTCAGGCTCAGGCTGTGGCTGAGGGTTGGCCCATTGTGTGTATGTGAATGTAACTTGGAGGCAGCAGTGGGAGGTGCAGGTGTTTCGGCAACTTCTGCCAGGGCACCCACGGGGAGGCTTTCCCACGACAGAGCTAGCAGAGGCCAGAGAGGGGTGGGCAGCTCAAGGGGGAGGATTAAAGTGGATGCTGAAAGCAACAGGGGCCCCTCCTGGCCATGGCAGAGGGGCGAGACAGTGCTGCACCACGCACTCGGGGTCTTCTGCCTCTGCACATATACTTCCAGGTCGGTCTGCAGACACCCACAGAAGAACTTGTTGGTTTTGCACTGGGGTTGCCCAGAGTCCATAAGCCCCGGTAAGGAATGGACCTCCTGGTGCCGTGAAGCTGGCACGGGACCAACACGGAATATTCCCTGCGTTCTTTTGTCTCCTACATGTGGCGAGCAGTTTCCCCCTTTTGGCTTCTCTCTCAGGGGCCTCACTGGTGCCTGGCATCCAGTGGGCCTTCAGGAATGCCAGCTAGTCTGAACTGGAGCAGACTTGGTAACTCCTGCCTTCCTCCTCAGAGCCACCTGTGGTGTTGCTGCCCTGGGGCAGTCTTCCTGGCTCCCCTGGCCCTTGGGGACAAGTCTGTAGATGCACGCACCACACAGTGGCAGGCTCTCAGGCTCTGACAACTCTGGACAGCACATGCCACTCTTGGGGAACAGGAACGGTGCCACCATTGTGGTGTTCCAGGCCCGACATGGAGCAGGACACAGGTGCCCACGCCACCGTCAGTCAATGCTTGTCAAGCAAATGGTGGCTGGACGTGGGGCAAACTTAGCAACCCTTAAAGAGCAGCCAAGACTTAAGAGTGAGCTGCAGAGAGCAGGGGCCCAGTGGGCTCAGCCGTGGCTGGGAGTGGAGCTAGGTGGTGTGGAGGCCCCGCTGAAGATGGAGCAGCGGGTCAAGGGGCCAGCCTTCCAGCCTGGGTCCTGCTGGTCCTGCTGCTCGGGCCTGCCTGTTCCTGGGTCTGAGGGGCTATGAGCAGGGCCTGCCCCACCACTGGGGAGCCCAGTCTACCATGTGCCCCTCCCCCTTTTGAACATCTTCTGACTTCCTTTCTGGTGCTGCTTCACCAGATACCCACAGAAGGCATATGGCACAGGTGGCTCCTGCCACACTTCCGCCAGGGGCGGGGTGGTGGTCCTGGCCCCCAGGGGGGCGTCGATGTGAAAACATCACTGCTCTCCTCGGGGCACAGCCAATCCAGAGCCCAGCTCCTGAATTTCCCAGGGGCCTGTAGCCAGGCTCCCCGAGCCGCAGACCCTGCCCCTCTGGTGCTGAGCCTCCGTACCAGTGGATCTGCGGGAATTTCTGTTATGCTGGGCGGGGACCGGGAAGCAGAGAGGAGGCTCAGGGTGGGACCCTTTGTGTCACTGTCAGGCTAAAAGCAGCTAAATTACCCTTTTCACCAATGTCACGGCCGGTGGGTGACTCACTGCGTATTTACAGAGCCCGGCGCTTTCCCTCTCCGAAAGAGAAGGATGCTCCTGGGGTGCCACACCCATCCCCAGGAGCAAGACATGTTTCTCCGTGGGAGTCAGGGAGCAGTGGGGCATGAGGGCAGCATCCATTAGCCCCACTGGGCGCCAGAGAAGGCATGCAGGGGCCACTCAGTCACGTGGCAGACATTTACTCAGGTTCTCCCTCCTTGACTCAGTGTCGGATGACAGAGATGAGAATTGTCTGCTTGTCTAGTGAGCTCCCAAACCTGGTGAGACAAGCAGCCGACCCTCAGGTGACCTCTGACAGCCCTGGGAGGTGGACACTCTGATCACATCTACCAGCGAGGAAACTGAGGGACAGGGAGGTGGGCCCTGTACCAAGCTGAGGGAGCTGGGACTTGAACTGAGGCTGCCTGGGCCAGCAAGGGCGGCGACGGTCTGTCTGCGTAGCAGGATGCAGGGGATGGAGGCTAACCTGACTTGGTAGGGCGCTGCCTTCTCCCCAGGACAGACGTCCCCAGAAGGATCAGGGGCACAGATGATACATGGGCTGAATAATGCTAAAGAAACCATTTCCTGTTACCCTACTGTCACCCATGGACTCAGGCCCTTTGCAACAACATCTCTTAGTCTGTTTTCCAAACACTGGACATCATGAGCATGCTTTCAAAGTTGAGCGGCAAGACAAACTCAGTTCACTACTCTGTTTGACCAGCATTCACTGCGTGCCAGGGGGTGGCAAACCGACCGGGGTTCTGGTCTTTAGGCCCACGCTCAAGTTGGGAGAGTACCGTATCTGAGAGCGTGGTGGGGGCAGCAGGGAGGATGGAGAGCTGTGGGGCAGGGTAGGGAAAGATAGCCTCCAAGAGGCCCCCATGCTGCCTGCCTCCTGTGGGACCCCTGGCCGGAGTGTGGGGGCTGCCTTCTGACAGAGAGAAAATGGCACAGGTGATGGCTGGTGTGATCCCAAGACTCTAGATTGTAGCAGTTGTCTTGTTGGCCTCTTTTTCTGCCTCACTGCTGTGGAGAAGGGAGCTAACATGCTGCCAGTGCCTGGGCTGGAAGGCTCGTGAGCCAGAGAGCAGAGGGCAGCCTGTGGTTGATGCCAGTGTGTAGCTGAAGCCTGCTGACCAGAGTCAGCTCCCCAGTCGAATCTCAGATGAGACCACAACCCCAGCTGGCATCAGGATGGCAGCCTTCCTTGCTGTGCCCAGACTTGGGACCCGCATAAACAGAGGGGAGTGTGTGTGTGTGTGTGTGTGTGTGTGTGTGTGTGTGTGAAGTTGCTCAGCTTGTGGTGATTTCATACAGCGAGCAAGGCAGGCAGAGGAGGGAGCATGTGCGTGAAGAGCTGAGAGGTGAGTGTGGGGAGGGAAGGGGACCAATGCCCAGGGTGGGCGCCACCCTGGCAGGCTGAGGTGGGCTCGGGTCCATCATAATCAGTGCATTTTCAGCTATGGCAAGAGGCTGCTGGGGAAGCGCGTGGGATGCAACTGTGCCCCCACTGGAAAATACAAGGCGACTCTTCTGGACAATTCCCTGCGCCTGCCCAGCTGTTCTTTCACTGGGGCTGGGGCTCAGTTTTGCAGCCTCTCCTTGAATAAATGAAGGGTTTCTGAGGCAGACAGATGGATTCTCTTCTCAGAGTCTTTTCAAGAGCTCCACTGCTCGTAGTAGACCCAGTCAAAGGGAGCAGGGGGCTGGCACAGACCTGGCCAGACAGCGGAATGGTGGGTCCCTAACTAGGGGCTGACTGGTCACCATCCTGTCCTGACCCTCTCCCCCTGCACTCCTGGGACAAAATCAGGCCATGTGGTCTTAGCATGTCCTAGAGGGAGGAAAGAGCCTGCAAGGTCCTGGTAGCCCATGGGTTGGGACCCAGGGTGAGGAGGAGACAGAGTGGAAGATCCCCTTTCCTGGGGGTGGAGTGGAGAGGTGGAGAGTAGGGGGGCTGGAGCCGAGGAGGAGGAACAGGAAGAGGAAGAGGGGAGGGAGGAAAGGGGGAAGGTAGGAGGAGAGGAGCCTGTGGGGCTGTGATCAAGACAGGGAGCACCCCTGCTCTCCGTTCTCTCATCCGGAGTGGTGGCTGTGAGGACTGAGTGACTTCAGCAGTGCCACAGGGTCCTCAAGGGTCTGTGTAAACATCACAAAGAGAGGGGCAACACAGACCCCTGCTAGTCCACTTTCTCCTGCGTGACAGACCACATGGGACCCTATCTTCCTCGCCATAGCCTTACCTGCTCCGTAGACCACTGAGTATACCACCTTCTTGGTCTGCTCTCTGTCCACGTGGTTCACATGCTCCATAGGAATGCCCTTCCTGTATGGCAAGACAGTCAGAATGTCACTGGGCATCCAGTGCTGATTCAGAGAGGTGGGCATGAGAGGCCAACCTGTGGCTCCACGCCAATGCGCTCTCCCTGGGGCTTCTCAGCTGTGTCACATGGGCCTCTCACCGAGGCAGGGGAGAGGGAGGGAGGGGCTGTGTAGCATTGGCTTGGTAGCATTGGTACCTTCAAGGAAGAAGCAACAGAAACCACAGGGTTTCTAACGGAAATGCCACATGTCAGAACCAGTGAATCATAGTTAAAGCAATGAGGATATTCCATAGCTCAAAACACGGCAACAAGGAGCCCTAGTGGTGCAGCTGAGCCATTAACTGAAAAGTCTGTGATTCGAACCCACCAGTGGCTCCCCAAGGGAGAATGAAGAGGCAACCTGCTTCTCTGAAGACTGGCCACCCCAGAACCCCTATGGGGCAGTTCTAGCCTGTCCTATAGGGTCATGATGAGTTGGAATGGATTCAACTGCACTGGGTTTGGTGTTTGAGTCTAAACTCCTTTATTAGTAAACATTGACAGAATGAACGAAAATGAATTAAGGTTCAGCTCAGGAGGCAAAATCAAAGCCAGTCAAAAGAATGTACAAGAAAAGAAATAAAGCTAGAAGCAGAAACTACTGTGGTGGAGAAGAGAAAAAGAGCAGCTCGAATTAATACATAAAATCACAGTTCTTATAAAAAATAAGACAAGCCATTAGCTAATTTAATTTTTCAAACGAGAAAGCACATGTACCCTGAATAAGAACTCTTAAGGAAAAATAGCTATTGATGTGGAGGAAGTCATAAAAGACTGGGAAGTTAGTTTATACAAATTCAAATAACTATGAAAACCTAGGTGAGACCAACAATCTCTTAAGGAAACAGTTTACCGTCACTGACTCCACAGAGACAGAAAGTTCAACAGCTCACCATCCACAGAAGAGACTGAGGAAATTGTTGAAGAAATACCTCGCAAGACAATATATTCTCTGACCACACACACCTCAAAATAAGAAACAGTTCCAAACACCCATTAATTATTGGAAGGTGTGACATACAAAGTATGAATCTAGAAAAATTGTAACTTGTAAAAAAATAAAATGAAATGCATAAAGATTGATGTCCCGGATGAGCTGAAGTGGACTGGTAAGCCTAGCTAATACAGCTGTCCTTCAAATTTATGCACCAACCACTAAAGCCAGTAATGAACAAGTTGAAGAATTCTACCCATGTTTTCACACTGAAATTTATTAACCACACAATCAAGGTGTGTTGGCGATTATGGTGATTGGAATATGAAAGTTGGAAACAAGAGGAAGGACCAGCAGTTGGACACGCGGCCTTGGTGAGAGAAATGAAGCCAAAGGGGGATGGGGAGCTGACGGCATTGATGACTGCGTCACTTCACTCGACGGCGTTGGATGACAGAGTTGCATGTGAACGGAGGGATTGGGTTGTGTAAGATAGGTCAATAAAACTTATAATTGAAACAATGCTTCTTAGTCACTCCTCTCAGATACAATTCAACTGTTCAAATACGCCTAAGCAGCCTTTTGGCTGTGCTTCCTCCAAAGTAGATTTGATGGTTCTGACAATCCACGGAAATGGTTTCTAATCTTATTCAACAATGTCCTAACTCAACAGCCCCAATTCTTGTCCCGTCCTCCTGATTCACTGTCTAGCTTTCACATGCATCAGAGTAACCAGGCAACATGTGTTCTTTTATACATGAGTGGGAGCCAACTTGGCAGGGAGTTAAACCACACCATGCATATATATATGTACATATACCATACATACTCGTGTATAAGCCGAGTTTTTCAGCACGTTTTTAATGCAGTTTTTGTGGTAAAATTAGGAGCCTTGGCTGATATTCTGGTCGGCTTATACTCAAGTATATACAGTAATGATGAAATAAATGAATTTCAAAGGGCAATTCAAGAAGACAAAGTGAAATATTATCATGAAATGCGTAAAAACACAGTTAAAAATAAAAAAGGAAGAGCAGGCTCAGTGTATCTTAAACTGAAAGAGCTCAAGAAAAAATTCAAGCTTGAGTTGCAATAGGGCTCTATGGGTAGATCAAAGTGGCTGTCAGAAGAGCGAGTGAAACTTGCTCTGAATCACAGAGTACTGATGGCAAATGGAAGAAAAAAGGAATGAATACACAGCCACTGTACCAAAGAGAACTGGTCGATGATTAACCGTATCAAGAGACACATGTGACCAAGAAACGCCAGCACTAAAGGAAGACATCCAAGCTGCACTCACGGCATCGGGGAAAGACCACGTTCCAGGAGTGGACAGACTACCACCCTAGTTTTCATAGTGAATGTGATGCTGGAAGCACTGACTCAGTATGTCAAGAAATGTAGAAGACAGCCACCTGGACAGCCAACGGAAAGAACTCTACATCCGTCCCCATCCCAAAGAGAGGCAAGCAAGTCAGATGCAGAAATGATCAAACTTTATTTATCATGAAACTCATACACTGGCAAATTTTGCTAAAGAGAATGTGGACACAACTGCCGCCACACATCAAGGCGCTGCCAGAAACGCAGCCTGGATTCAGAAGCGACGGGGAGGGAGAGCACAACTGCCGACGGCAGGCGGATCTCGGCGAAAGCCAGGAGCACCAGAAACGCGCAGACTGGCGGCTCATTGATTACGAGGCGGCGTTCGGCTGTGTGGATCTTAACAAAGTATGGGTAATAGTATGAAGAATGAGAATTCCAGAATATTTAATTGTGCTCATGCAGACTTTGTATATGGACGACGAAGCAGTCTTTTGAACAGAATAAAGGCTGTTGTGCAGTTTAAAATGGAAAAAGGCGCCCTCCACCCTAAGCCATGGTCTTTTTACTCGCTTGGTGCGCATGGTAAAGTTGGATGGTGAAAGAGGAAGACAGGGATGCGTTCGCCGCGCGGTGCTTTGTTCTGCTGTGCACAGGGGTGCTGTGGGTCACAGCAGACTCGAGGGCACTTAATAAGCAAGGTTGTGATGGGCTGGAGCCAACCCGATGGGAACTAACATCCAGAACTACAGCACCCACCACAACAACCTTCCAAGGGGCCACCACAGACGAGTAATAAACTATTTAACACATTTATGCAGAATGAAACCCCAATTTTTTTTGGGGGGGAGGCACTAAAATAAATACACAAATAAACCTTAATCAATAGGAATTGTTTTCCTTAAAGAATGAAGAAAAGCTAACCTATTTTCTTCGTTCTTGAAAGTAAGGACATTTTATTTTGCCCTGACACCAAAAAGCATCCTTTTGGGAGATCCAATTTTCCATGAAAACCTTTACACTTCCCAACTCTTGATACTGTTCTCGTGTCTTCGGCGGTTTGTATCTCAGAAGAGAAGTTTGTTGCTAACAGGAATTAAACAAATTTGAGGGGAAGAGAGAAAGAGAGAGAGAGAGAATGAGTGGGAATTCTGGCCGCCAAAGGAAGTTGTAAAGCCGCGTGGAAACAGTGGTTTGGATGTTGGATGAGGAGCAGTGTCCCAGACACGGTCTTGGCAGACAGACAGTAGAGCACACAGTCAAGCTGGGGGCCATGGAAGCCAGTGATTTCAAAAGGCCAGACGTATCTCATTTGAAGGCAGCCAAAGGTACATTCTTGTTCAGTGGTGAGAAATGGAAAAATGGATTGGGATTTGTATAAAAAATGACGCAATTGAAGTCCTATCTGCTCTCCTTTGTCCAGCCTACACAACGGGTCAAGTCCGGGCTGCGGAGGCTCAAGGGACTGGGATTGTAATCCAACACAACGGGTCAAGTCCAGGCAGTGGAGGCTCAAGGGACTGGGATTGTAATCCAACACAACGGGTCAACTCCGGGCAGCGGAGGCTCTAGGGACTGGGATTGTAATTTTAGGTCTAGCAGTGCCGTGGTGGAGACCAAGCAGAGAAGAGAGAAAGAAAAGCTAACCTCCTAGGCATACAGGGGGCCGTTGGGACAAGAGGCTGGCAAGGAGCTAAGCCAGGGACAAGAGCAGATAATTTAGACGCCCCCTATGGGACTAAGGTGCACCTGGTCCAAGCTGTGGTCTTTTTTTTTTTTT